GCTTGCAATCGACGTGTGGCCCGGCCGCCGCCCGCAGGTTTCCCGCGCCCCTGCAGGTGGGGCTTGATGCTGTCGCCCCAGTTGGTGCATCGGCAGCTCTGCAGTCTCCGACCTGTGGCGTGCCTCCTGGCATCGGACCAATCTCGCTGTACGTTTCTCGGCAGCGCAGCGGGGCCCTTGCAGCATCCTGCTGCCGCGAGCCAGCGCGGCCCTGCACTCCGGGCGTGGGCCTTCTGCACCCCACCCCCTGGCTGTGGCCGAGACGCCACCCCGCGTCCACTGCCAGGACGCATCAGCGCAGGCAGGCCGCAGGGCCGCTCCAGTCGACGGCCATCGTGCTGTGACTGGTCCACCTCCTGTTCCTCCTGCCCGCGGCCGCGCTCTGTCCGTGTTCTCTTCTCTTGCTGCCCGCCAACTGGTGCTTGCCATCACCTGGCCTACCAAAGCGCGCGTGCGGATCGCCTCTGCCGCGCTGCGACGAAAAAAATGTGTGTGTGTGTGTGTGTGTGTGTGTGTGTGTGTGTGTGTGTGTGTGTGTGTGTGTGTGTGTGTGTGTGTGTGTGTGTGTGTGTGTGTGTGTGTGTGTGTGCATGTGTGTGTGTATGTGTGTGTGTGTGCCGTCGGCTACAGCACCGCCTGATTCCGAGGCTTTGCCTCCTCCCGGCCTCGTTCTGAGGCTGCGCCCCCCTTTTCCTCCCCCATCTCTGGTGAATTCAAGCTTCGCGCGGCCCGCTTAGCTTAGACCAGAAGAGGTGCGCTCTCGACCCGCGAATCAAAAAAAGTGTGTGTGACTGTTGGCCATGTGTACCTGTCTCCCTTTGAAGACGGGGTGCTTGTGCGGAGTCGCTCTGCGGCGGGCCTCCGGGTCTCGTCCTGCCGGCGAAAAAAGGAAAAGTCTCGGGGCCGGAGCCCCTGGGTGAAGTGGAGGACCCCCACTGTACAGGCGGATCGTGGATGAAAAATGTGAAACAAGTCAATCCATTTTCAAACACAATCAAAGATAGTCGGAACATCTTCCCTTCCCCATACTACTTACTGACTATGTTCGAGTATTCCTCATGTAGCGGGACACGCCCGACTTGGCGTCGAAAAGGGTGAAGTGGAGGGCCACCAGCGGCGATAGAGAGGAGTGCGCAGGAGCGGGGGCTGCGCGACGAACTTTTACGCTCGATCGGGTCGAGAAATGCCAGCTGGGCCTGCACTTCGAGAGACAGCGGTCTTTGGGTGACAACAGCCTCCAGCCCACGGACAAGAGCTGTGTAGAGCGGTGTGACATCACTGGTGGGGGACGAGGGGGGAGGGAAGAGAGGCGAGATGGGAGATGGATGGGGGAGGGCGGGGACGACGGAGGCATGGAACGGCCAGAGGGGCACTTTCTTCGCTGGAGAGGTGGAGAAGGATGGGAGAGGAGGCGAGTAGAAATACACCGCCAATGGCGAACTAGCCTTTGGCTTCTGTGCCTTCTTGAGCTGCACACCGCCATCACTACCCTGCTCATCCTCCACATCGTCACCATATTCCAACTGCTGTTGCCGAGCCTCCTCCTGGGACTCATACGCCTGCTCCTGGGTTTTTCTCCTGCTACTGCTGTTGATTCTGCCTTTGCTCCTGATCTGGCTCTTGTCTTTGCTGCTGCTGCTTCTCCTCCTCCTCCTCCTCCTCCTCCTCAAACTTCCGCCGACCAAGACCTTGGCCCTCTGGAGCACGTCGCTTACACGTCGGAAGGTGCCGACGCAACCGTCGGGCGCGACTGCCTTCTTTTTGTTCTTGGTTTTGCTTTGCTGCTCCCCGCGAGGGAGGCACCCCGCGCGCCTCGCCGCTCGACACGCAGCCCGCTGAAGCCCGCGTGCCTCTCTCCACCGCGGGCGCCGACGGTGAAGATTGAAGGGGCCCCAGGACACACAAATAAATATACACAAACAAACAGATTCCCTATATTTTCTTAGATTTTCTGGGTTTTTGTCTTCCCCCCCACTTCCCGTATTTTCCCATACTTTCTGGGGAATCGACGATTTATTGTGTCTGTGTGTTTTTTTTCCCTCCTGAAAGATGACGCGCAGAGTCAGCGAAGGCCTCACCAGAAGCTCAGCAGCTCAACTGACTGGTGGACTGTTCTTCCCAGGACCCGCAAAGCCCTAAAAACGGTGTCTTTCGTTTTCGTTCTGTTTTCGTTTTCCCCCGCTTTTGTCTCGAATCCGCCTTCACCGCAAAACGAAGTCGAAACGAAAACGGCCCACGAAATGGCCAAAAACACTGTTTAGGTCCAGCCTTGCACCAAGCCTGCTGTCCTGATGACACGAGCGCCCGCTCCCACAGAAAGAACAAGAAGCAATCAGAACAGACTGCGCGCGCGCAGGCCGCAGGGGCGCTGGTCTCTGGACACCCGGCGCGCCCGCCAGGTTATTCAGGAGGAGATCGAGGATCTCCAGGGAAAAGGGGGGAGGGAAGAGGAAGGGAGGGGCAGGGAGAGGGGGGGAAGAGGAAGGGAGGGGCAGTGAGAGAGAAGGGGGATCCCCAGGGAAAAGGGGGGCAGCAGGAGAAGCAGGGAGAGAGCGGGGGGGGGGCACCGCCGTGGCGTCGCCAGCTTACACGAGTAGCCCCGAGGCAGACATCCGAAACGGTGACGGAGGAGGGCCTCGGCCTCCTCACAGCTCCCAGCTCTCCGACGCCATGCTCTCGCCGTCGCTCGGACGTCCATTTTTCGGGTGCATTTTTCGGTTTCGTGCGTTTTTTTTCGTTTTTTTTTTTTTTTGGTTTTTGTTGTTTTTTTGCTCGATGGTCCAGGATGGTCCTCGACGGTTGTCGCCGAGAAAAAATGCACACGTCCGAGCGATGCCAAGTGCTTCTGTCCAATGCGGGGTCTTCAGACTTGTGGACTGCAGAACCTGACTGAATTCTGCCCAGCGAGTTCTGGCGGCGCGCAGAGGGGGGCAGGGGGAGGGGGGAAGGCTTCTCCGAAGGAGGCTGCTTCTTAGCGTGCGCCGGCACTACATCCATAGACAGGGCCCGCGCCTTCTAAGAAGCAGGGGCGCTTCTAAGAAGCCTTTCCCCCTCCCCCTACCCCCCTTGGCGCGTTGCAGCACGTTGGAGGCCTGGGTTCCGCCGCACTCCCCAGCAAAAAAAAACCGGCGCCGCTCTGCGAGCGCAATTCCTGCGCCAGCCCGACACGCGGCGCACCCCTCGGGCCGGCAGCATCTGCTCCGCAGAGCGGCAAACGATCCCGTTGCCGTCCTGCCAGCCTGGCCATCCGAGGAACAAGCGCTGGCGCATGCCAAGACCCGTGCTTGGACCCCAAGAGGCCCACAAGAGAGCCCCAAGACGGCCAGAGGCCTCGACGGCCCAAAAGGGCCCCAGGACGGCCCAACATCGCCCCAAAAGGGTTCCCAAAGGGCTCCGAAAGGGCTCCAAGAAGACCCCGACGAGGCCCAAGCGACGCCCAAAAACACCATGGCTCCCATCAGCGAGCGGTGACGTAACAAGCTCGGAACACCAAAGCTCCCCACAGCGCGGTGCCGTATAAAGCTCGTCACACCAAGGCTTGCAAGAGCGAGCGGCAACGTAAACGTCTCTTAACATCGGGGCTCCCAACGGAGAGCGGCGACGTAACAAGCTCTTGACACCAATGCTCCCAAGAGCGAATGGTGCCATGAACGATATGGGGTGGGTGGGGGGACTGGCATACATAGGGGGGGGATGCATCGATCTGGAATCGGCGATACATCGCCGATAGATCGGCGATAGGCCTCCGATGGTGAATCCGCACCTTCCTGAGCAGGTCGGGGCTATCGGGCCCCTATCGGCGATCAATGGGCGATTGGGGGCCGACACATCCCCTCCCATTCCTATCCCCTCCAATTATCGTTGCCCCCGATCTCCACGACCTCCAGGAGGAGTGGGAGGGGGAGGAGGGGGAGGGAGGGGGAGGGGGAGGGGGAGGGGAGGGGGAGGAGGAGGCGGAGGAGGGGGAGGAGGAGGAGGAGTGGATGGAGGAGGAGGAGGAAGGGAGGAGGAGGAGGAGGAGGAGGAGGAGGAGAGGAGGAGGAAGGAGGAGGGAGGGAGGAGGAGGAGGGGGGGAGGAGGAGGAGGTGAGGAAGGAGGAGTAGGAGGATGTAGGGGGGAGAGGGGATGATAGGAGCGATGGAGGAGGGGAGGGTGGTAGGAGGAGGAGGAAAGGCGGGTAGGAGAGTGGGAACGGAGGGGAGGGGGGGGAGGAGGAGGAGGAGGAGGAGGAGGACGAGGAGGAGGAAGACGAGGGGCCATCTCCTGCCTCCGCCTTCTCTTGCCCATGGGGCCAGCATCGCTCTCGCGGCGCGCTGGCGCCCGCCCGACCACGATGCTCTGCCTGCCTCCGCCGACCCGGCACGTCGCGGTAACGAACGCTTCGCAGGCGTGTGGCAACAGGTCCGGCGAGGGCTTAGCCGCCCGAGTATCCCAGATGTCGTAATAAAAGTGAGGGGGTCTCATTTCGGGGGGGGTCTCTTCCGGCTATCTTGGAGGGTCCAGACCCCTCCCTTGTATTACGAAATCTGGAGTATGGTCTGGACCCTCCAAGACAGCCATTTCAGACCCCCCCCCCCCCGTGGGAGAACCCTCCAAAACATCGTTCCCCAGACCCCCCCAGGCCTCTCCAAGATAGCCTGGAAGAGACCCCCCCCCGAAAGGAGACCCCCCTCCCTTTTATTACGAAATCTGGAGCACGTATGGCAGGCCGCCCGAGTATCCAGCGTGCCACGCTGACACAAGTACCACCACTGCGTGTCAGCGCGAACCGCACGAGTCATCGGCACAGTCGCACAACAGCCACAGCGTCCCTCATTCCAGTGAACTGAATTCTCTTCGCTCATTTCGGCACGCAACCATAGTTTCCTGCTGCGTGCACCCAGATCCAGAGGCATCTAAATTGTGGATTTCAGTGCTGACGCCACGAGTGCCTTTCAGCGCACACACACACACACGAGGTGTAAAACGACTGTATCGAGAGAAACAGCGTAGTCAGGGTCCTCCGGCGTCCAATCGTTGTGCAGGCCCCAGTGCTTTCGCATCACCTTCTTGTCCGCTGCCCACCAAATTGACAGGTACCTCGGCAGCTGAGCGGATCTCTTCAGAACCAAAACAGAGGGGCAGTTGCCCGAGATGCACCGTATCACTTCTTTACTCTGCCCATCCCTACGACGTCAAGAGTGAGCTGGAGCTGGATGCTGCGAGGAGGGAGGCCGTGTTGGGCCCAAGGCAGGTCGAGGGAGGTTCTCAGCGGTGCTGGGGCGTTCTCATCGACCTCCCTTTCTTCTCTTGCGGGTGCGCTGAAGAGTGCAGCCAAGAAACGAAGGGGAAACGGGGGCACCGCGGACGAAGGGGGGGCAAGGGACGTGCTTGAGGACACAAATGAGGCTATGACATTGCCCTCGCCATGGGATCCAACCCGCCCTATATTCATCACCCCCTTCTTGTAAAACAGGGCTAGGATCGAGATAAATCGCTCCAGAGCGTTCTGAAGCGCTCTCAGAGCGTTCCGGAACGCTCTGGAGCGGCCGCGGCGCCCAAGACATCCTCCAAACCCGCCGATCCTCAGAGATTTCGAGTTATCCCGATCCGATTTTGTCCCGATCTTCGCGTCGTTTGATCTGCCTCTCTGGCCTGTGAGCTTCCAACAGCTTGGGCTCGAGCCTCGCGGGAGCCCCGCCCTGCAGAGCGGGAAAAAGTGGGGCCTCCGTGCTCCGGTCTCCTGGGCTCCGGGCCCGGCCCTTGCTCGGGGATGGACAGACCGCCCTTTAGCAAAACGTGGTCTAGTGACAACGACCTGAGGCCCAGGCCCAAGCCTGGCGGGCGCAAGCCTGGAAAATCACGGCCACGGCGCCCTCTCGAGAACCGAACACGGACAACTCACTGATCGACGTGTCCCTGTTGGGGGTTCTGCCCACCCCCGACTTGCCCCTTGCCCCTTGCCCGGGCCCGGCCCCAGCTCTGCAAAACAGGGCTAGGATCAGGATAAATCGCTCCAGAGCGTTCCAGAGCGCTCTCAGAGCGTTCCAGAACGCTCTGGAGCGGCCGCGGCGCCCAATACATCCTCCAAACCCGCCGATCCTCAGAGATTTCGAATTATCCCGATCCGATTTTGTCCCGATCTTCGCGTCGTTTTACTCTGGCCCTGGCTCAGGCCACGGCCCCGTCCCCGGCCGCTGCCGCGCCCCGCCCCAGCCCTGGCCCCGGCCCCAGGCCTGGCTGCTGGCCCCGTGCCCGGCGCCGGCCTGGGCCGGCACCAGCCCCGCCCCTGGCCTTGGCGCAGGGGCGCCGCGTCGGTCGTCGCTCCACGTCGTCATCGTCGTCGTCGATCGTCGTCGCTGATCGTCGGTCGTCGGTCACCGCTGGTCGTGAATCTTCGTCGTCGTCGTCGTTACTATCGGTCCTCATCAGTTGTCGTCGTCGTCGATATTCCGTCGGCATTCGTCGTTCGTCGTCGTCGTCGTCGCCGCCGTCGTCGTCGTCGTCGCCACCGTCGTCGTCGTCGTCGTCGTCGTCGTTTTTCGTCGCCAAAAAAAATTTAGACAACGTCGGGAACGCCCAGGATCGACGGCAGCCCCAGACGTGTCGGTGAGGCGGACCAGGCTTTTCTTCGAGACTTCATCACCATGTTTGATCCTTGAAGCGCGGCGGGTCGTTCTCAAAAGGTGCCCCTCGCCTTGACGCCGCTCGCATCTGTTGGAAGCCTGCAGAAGCTTCACAGATGGAGGGCGGCTCCTCATCAAAACATGTGGCTCTCGCCCTGGCGCTGCGCACGTTCGAGATTACAGCAACTTCGCTGTGTTATGGTTGACGTGCCAGACATTTTTTTGTGTCCCGATGTAGGACTGTCGGGGCGCACCAATCACGTTGATCCGCGGTGTTAAATTATCCCAGCGCGACCCTACCTAGGAGTTGGAACCCCTAGGAAAGCAGCATTAGTAGTAACAGTAACGCTAAGCTAAAGCTAAGCTAAAGCTAAGCTAAAGCTAAGCTAAAGCTATGCTAAAGCTAAGCTACTCTAAGCTAAAGCTAAAGCTAAGCTAAAGCTAAGCTGAAGCTGAGCAGCAGCTAAGCTAAAGCTAAGCTGCAGCTAAGCTAAAGATAAGCTAGAGCTAAGCTAAAGCTAAGCTAAAGCTAAGCTAGAACACTAGGCTAGAAAGCTAAGCTAAAGCTAAGCTAAAGCTAAGCTAAAGCTAAACGCTAAGCGAAAAGCTAAGCGAAACGCTAAAGCTAAGCTACAGCCAAGCTAAAGCTAAGCTAAAGCTAAGCTTAAGCTTAAGCTAAAGCTAAAGCTCCCAGGGGACTGGGGGGAACCGCGGGGCTGGGACTGGGGGAACCGCCCGGGGCGCTTTACACTGCCCGGCCCCTTTAAGCTAAGAGAGTAAGAACCCTTCTAGGCAGAGCCTAGGTAGGGAATAACATCACAATGCTGATGTTCTGGCGCGATTCCGGACCGTCAGAACGCTACAGTAGAGTTGATTCGCGGCGTTGAAGCCCAAAGAACTGACGTTTGGCATCGTTCAGGATTTTCACGCGGTTGTCTTCCCACGGAGCACTTCCACCAGTGAAAATAAACCCTTGTAGGAACCTGTGAAGAAGGAACCAGGAGGAAGGCTTTATTGCAACATCGTTGATGAGTCTTGGGTTTGCACTGGTCCTCCTGTCGCGACGGTGGGGAACCTCAGTCTCCATCATCACCGAGACGCTATAACGCCGCAGCTGGTGGCGGGCTGTGGGGACGACAGCCAGGGCCTCGTTCATGGTGAGCGGTCGAGTGGGAGGCACAGGCGTTGCTCTGAGCTCGTTAAAGAAGAGATGAGCACCAGCAGGCACCTCAAGGGATCGACGGGACGGTGCCCCCATCCTCCTCCTCCTCCTCCTCCTCCTCCTCCTCCCCCTCCTCCTCCTCCTCCTCCTCCTCCTCCTCCTCTTCCTCCTCCTCCACGCTCCTCCTCCTCCTCTCCTCCTCCTCCTCCTCCTCCTCGGATTCCTCCTCCCCCGATTCCTCCTCCTCCTCCTCCCTCCTCCTCCTCCTCCTCCCCTCCCCCCTCCGCCTCCTCCTCCTCCTCCTCCTCCACGCTCCTCCTCCTCCTCCTCCTCTCCTCCTCCTACTCCTCCTCCGATTCCTCCTCCCCCGATTCCTCCTCCTCCTCCTCCTCCTCCTCCTCCTCCTCCTCCTCCTCCCCCATCTAGCTCCAATCAACTCAGAAGCGGTCCCCAGATCCTTCCCAGACACAACGCTGACTCTACTCGTCGCCGCCGTGCCTGGCCGCGGCGACGGAGGGACCTCCCAGGAAGCTGGGACAACAAGGAGGAGGAGGAGGAGGAGGAGGAGGAGGAGGAGGAGGAGGAGGACGAGGTGAAGGAGGAGGAGGAGGACGAGGTGGAGGAGGAGGAGGAGGAGGAGGAATGCGAACGGGGGTCTCCTTGGAGGGGATCCCCCCCCGCCCTCCTCGTTCTTCTACAAGCATCGTGCCACCAGAGTTCGACATGACTTTTCTGGTTACGGCGAGTCTCGGCAAAGAACAGGTTCCCCGATCTAGACCTAAGGAACGACCCGAAAACCAGAGCCCCTCCTGACCCCCAAGTGGTCCTTCTCTCAGCGTCTTGGCTGTAGGTCGGAGGTCTGGGAGGAGGGGGGGGCCTCCTCCCAGACCGCCGACTTCGTTGTCGATTCAATGCGTGGTCACTGGGTCCCCAACTCCATTCAGATTTCTATTGGCCCCGAGGGCCCGAACGGGCCTCCGGAGGTCAGAGTCGTGGAGCCCACGGCCGCCTCGTGCATTTTAGAGTGTTGGAGGTATGGGGAGAAGGAGGAGGAGGAGGAGGAGGAGGAGGAGGAGGAGAAGGCAGGAGGAGAGAGGAGGGATGAGGATGGGGATGAGGAGGATGAGGATGCGCAATTGAGCATGATGATGATGATGATGATGATGATGCTGATGATGATGATGATGATGAGGGGAGAGGAGAGGAGGAGGAGGAGGAGGAGGAGGAGAGGGGGGAGGAGGAGGAGGAGGAGGAGGGAGGAGGAGTGGAGGAGGAGGAGGGGGAGGTGGAGGAGAGGCGTGGAGGAGGAGGAGCGTGGAGGAGGAGGAGCGTGGAGGAGGAGGCGGAGGAGGAGCTTCCTCCCCCCGTCTCCCCTCGCTCGTCCGTCTGCTTGTCCTCCAGCTCTCCCCCGCTGGCCCGATCGGCGCGTGGACACGGGCGAGAACCCCCGCCGAGCGCAGGGAGCCTGTCTCCGGGCAGCAAGCGTGGCGAGGAACACTTCAGCGCGAACTGTTCCCTCCCTCCCTCCTTCCCTCCATCCTCCCTCCTCCTCCTCCTCCTCTTCCTCCTCCTGCTCCTTCTCCTCCTCCTCTCCTCCATCCTCCGCCTCCGCCTCCTCCGCCTCCTCCTGCCTCTCCGCCTCCTCGCCTCCTCCCGCTCCTCCTCCTCCTCCTCCCGCCTCCTCCTCCGCCTCCTCCCCTCCTCCGCCTCCTCCGCCTCCTCCGCCTCCTCCGTCTCCGCTCCGCCTCCGCCTCCGCCTCCGGCTCCTCCTTCTCCTCCTCCTCCTCCTCCTCCCTCCTCCTCCTCCCTCCTCCGCCTCTCCTCTGCCCCCTCCGCCCCCACCTCCGCATTCGCTTCCGCCTCCGCTCCTCCTCCTCTCCTCCTCCGCCTCCCTCTCCCTACTCCCTCCTCCCCCCTCCCTCCTTGGTCCTCGAAATCTGTTTTTTTTCTCCTTTTTTTCCTGCACGTCGAAGTCTGGCATCCTGCTCAAATGTGGGGGTGGTCGAGTTGAAAGCGCGATGCACGACGAACAGAAGCGTGATGCGGTAATTCAGTTTTGCCAGCGCGGATAAGAGCGGCAACCAAGAAGAGAAGAGCAAGCGGGAAAAACGTGGCGACGATGCGAAGAGTGCAGTAGCGGCAAAATCGGACCCAAGACCTCTCCTGGGAGCATTCTGACCAGAAACTCGCGATGGCTTCCGCGGTGGCCGCGAGAGCGCCCCGGGACGCCCCCAAAGCCCGAACACGCCCAAACCCCGAGCCTCGATGTCCGTCCTGACCTCCTCCTCCTCCTTCCCCACCCCTCCTCCTCCTCCTCGTCGTCGTCGTCGTCCTCCTCCTCCTCCTCCTTCTCCTCGTCCTCCTCGTCCTCCTCGTCCTCCTCGTCCTCCTCGTCCTCCTTGTCCTCCTCGTCCCCCTCGTGCTCCTCCCCCCCCCTCCCCCTCCCTCTCCCCTCCCCCTCCCCTCCCCCTCCTCCTCCTCCTCCTCCTCCTCCTCCTCCTCCTCCTCCTCCTCCTCCTCCTCCTCCTCCTCCTCCCCCTCGCCCTTCTCCTCCTCCTCCTCCTCCTCCTCCTCGTCCTCCTCCTCCTCCGCCTCCTCGTCCTCCTCGTCCTCCTCGTGCTCCTCGTCGTCCTCCGCTCCTCCTCCTCCTCGTCCTCCCTCTCTTTCTCCTCCTCCTCCTCCTCCTCTTCCTGGCCACCCTGCTTGGATAGCAAGGCCCCGTCAATGACAAGGAGATAGCCCCCCCCGTCGATTGGAGGCCGACGGGGAGATCGGTGCCGCCAGATGGGCGGGGTATAGATACATGGTGCGCAAGGTCTGGCGGAGGTGGGGCTCCTTTCTCAAGGTTTGGGGGGCGCCTCCGCCAGGGGAGGGGGATAGGCCGTGGTGGGACTGGGCCCCTCTCGTCCCGTGGGGATCCCAATCCTGCCGTGGTGTACCCCCCCCGCTGGCTGGACCCAGCTGTGACGACGACGGCGCGCCTGCAGGCCCACATGCGTCTGTACAACGCCTCCTCCTCCTCGTCCTCCTCTTCCTCCTCCTCTTCCTCCTCGAGTGCCGCATTCCCCCTCTCCTCCTCTTCTTCCTCCTCCTCCTCCTCCTCCTCCTCCTCCTCCTCCTCGAGTTCCCCACCCCCCCGCCCATGGGCGCCCAGGGCGGCCCACTGCTGCCAGGCGCGTGCTCCGCCTCATGCCGAAGGCATCCAAGGTGGCGTACTCGCGGGGGGCGCCGTGCCACTGGCCTCCTCCTCGCCATCCTCCATCCCTCCTCGGCCCTCCCTCCTCCTCGGCCCAACCTCCCTCTCCCCCAGCCCTGGCCCCCCTTCCTCCCCACTTCCCACTTTCAATCACTTCAGGCAGCAAAAACAAGAACCCCCAAGTGCAAGCATTGCTTTGGGAAATTGCTCCCATGCCGTCCACCCACCATCTGTATCCTCCTCCCTCTCCTCCTCCTCCTCCTCCTCCTCCTCCTCCTCCTACTCCTCCTCTGCATCATCCTCTATCCTCCTCCCCTGGGCCAAGGACACAATGAGGGCGAACACCGCGACTAAGAACCGAGGTTCCATGCAGGAGGGCAGGTCATGCTCGAGGCGAAGTGCAAGCAGAAACTCTAGTGGTGGTCTGGTCTTGCAGATAACCGAATCAACTCGCGAGCGTCTCCTGCCACTCTCCCCACGCCATGTAGCTCTGGTAGACGTGGTGGATCACCTGGTGGCAACTGCCGCTCACACCCCTGAAAGTCGGACCATATGAAACGATGTGCGTTGACACGCGGTGTTTCATGATGACCGGCGAACGCCCACGTTCCGCAATGGTTCTAGACAAACGCAACATCAACGGCGGCAAGCAATACAATAAGTTGGTTATCATCGACATGGTCTGGGGGACGGATTAGCTGAGGATGAAATGGAAAAGGGATAGAGGGCGAATAGGAGTGGTGTTGGCTTCCCTAGCGATCTTAATACGGTCTTAAAGCCCTCAGGTGGCACAGTGGTGCTATCGTTTTAGCATGGCGTCCGGATGCTGGATGCAACGCGCGGTGCGCGGTAGAAGAACCACTATCGCACCTGCACAACAGGGAGGCCCCATTTATGGCTTCAGTGTGTTGCTGCTGGTGATGAGCGTGATACTACCACTGGTGGTCGTACGGCATTTAGTCCACGTTTCTTTTTTTGTTTCTCTCTCTCTCTCTCTCTCTTTCCCATTATCGCCCTCAACATTACAAACGTGTAAATGTGCACACACATGTATTTATAACTGAATCTGTGTATGTGTATACGAATGTTAGCCAGCGTGGACCCCAACCCGCACGTGCGCTATATCACAGTACGTGGTGCGGTATACGTGGTGCAATTTGTTTTGCGCATTCATGTGGTGCAATATACGAAGTGCGATCTGTCTCTCTCCCTGTCTCTCTCTATATATCGTGCAAACGATCGTGTGCACTCTAAATTGCGACATCTAAGTGCGGCAGGCCATGTTGTGCAACATACGTGGTGCAAATGGTGAAGAAGTCCATGTGATGCAATGCGCCTGGTGCAATCCATGCGACTCAATCTATATTGCGCAGGCAAGGTTGTGCAGCCGAAAATATATTTGGTGCGAATACGTGGTGTGCACTCTATATGCTGCAATGTGTGTTGCGCGCTGTGTGGTGCAATTAATTTCTGTTCGCAGTGAATTGTCAACGCCGCTGCTCGCGCAATCATCCCACCCACCCACCCGCAACTTGGTTTGCAAAACTCATGCGGCGGCGACTGCGGTGAATGCTTGTTGGCTGGTGTATCTCTACGGCCGCGCTAGCCCGCGCATGCTCGCGCGCGCAGCGGCCGGCTAGTTGTGCGCGACCGACGCGGCCGTGGTGGCGCTGACCGCTGGGCACATCCCAGCGGGCACTTCATTGCGACTCGGTTGCTGGGGCGGGTGCGGTATCATGACAACGTCGACAACGGTAGGCACGATGATGATGATCGTAGCGACGCTTGTTACGACGATGACAACGGCGACAGCACTGCCAACGACGGCACCGACGGTGGTCACGCCGGCGACGATGACGGCGCCGTCGGGTCGGTGATGAAGGTTCTGGAAGGAGTTCGACATGCGCGCGCGGCCGACGCGAGTGGCCCGCATGGCATTATTTGCTTCGGATCGTGCCCCCCCAACGCGCGCGCAAGGGCGTTCGAATGATGCCGACGTGCGGCGCGAGGAGCTGGTTTGTGAGAGTTCCACGCGCATTTTTTGTTATCAATCAACTTATCTTTTTTGAAGGATTTGCAACAACGCGAGCGCAATCTTTTTTGAAGCCATGTGTTTTATAGATTTTTTCGTGCGCTCGATCTTGAAATCCTTACAGCAAGTTTTATAAGAATCTGGGCATGCGCGCGCAACGACGCGCGCGCGCACTTTGTTTCTCTTTGTGCCAAACCAATTATCGCGGAAATGCGCTCGAACGGGCGTTCGGACAAAACTCGACATGCGCGCGAAGCCCTTTTGGTCGCATTTTCTGAACACGTTGAATAACAATGGATATCGTCAGAATTCGCAAAACGCGCGCGCGCTTCGTTGGTTCGAAAATCCGTGTTGCGAAGCAATGTGCTTTTATATCTTGATTGTGCGCTCGATATTGGAATCCTCGCGCAACCATCGGGCTTGGAAGGATTCCAGCGCGCGCGCGCGACATCGAACGCGCGTGCACTTCGATCCGTCTTTCGCGAGGGAATATTGCAAGGGCTGGCGGGGGGTCTCGATGCAGGCCTGGCTTAGATGGCATGAGATCGTATGTAGGATGGGCGGCGGGGCAGAATCATATGAACATTGCAACGCGCACAAGGGGCGCTGAGAATCCGGGGGGTGGTGGTGGGGGGGGGGGGGGATCTATTTTCTTTCGCGAAAGGAGAATTCAACTGTGGAGCTCGCATATGTCAACTCCACTGCTCGCGCAATCATCCCGCCCGAAATTTGTTTCGCAAAACGCACGCGGCGGCGATTGCGATGAGTGCTTGGCGTTGGCTGCTGCATATGCGGCCGCGCTGGCCCACGCGTGCTCGCGCGCGCAGCGGCCGGCTAGTTTGGCGGGGCCGACGCGGCCGCGGCGGCGCCGATGTCTGGGCGATCCCCCGGCGGGCGCATCACTGCGAGTCGGCTGCTTGGGCGGGCGCGGTATCGCGGCAACGTCGACGACAGTGGGCGTGGCGATGGTAGTGGCGATGCTGGTCGCGACGATGACATTGGCGACGGTGCGGCCAGTGACGGCGCCAGTGGTGGTCATGCCGGCGACGATGACGGCCTCGTCGCGTCGGCGATGGAGGTCTTCGGAGGAGTCAGACGCGCTCGCGCGCGGCCGACGCGCGAGTTGCCCGCGTAGTGCTATTTGACGCGGGTCGTGCCCCCCCCCAGCGCGCGCAGAGGCGTTCGAACGATGTCGACATGCGCCCGTTTGGTCGAATTCACAAACACTGAAAACCAGTGGCTGTCCTGAGAATTCGCAAGGGCGCGCGCGAGCGCAGCTTTTTCCCCCCTGGAAACTGACGGTTGCAAAACCATACGGCCCTTCACATGTATCTGGAGCGCTCGATTTTGAATGCCCTGCGAAAAAGGTTCTTGACGGGTTGCGGGGCGCGCGCGCGACGCAGCGCGACGTCCGATTCGTTGCGAGGGGTTCTTGCGACAGCGCGCGCGCGAGGGTGTTCGAACGATTTCGACGCTCGGCCGACGCGCGAAAGTGGCCCGCGCGGTATCATTGGACTCGGATCCCGCCCCCCGGAGCGCGCGCAAGGGCGCCCGAATGACGTCGGCATGCGGCGCGAGAGGCCCGCTTGGCAGAATTCAACGAACATGTGGAACAACCGATAGTTTTCTTGTGCATGCGCAAGAGTGCGACCGCAGGCTTGTTTCTTGTTGCCGTTAAAAAACGGTTGCTGCGAAGCCATATGTTTCTACATGGTTTCGAGGCGCTCGGTTTTGAAATCCGTGCGAAACCCAAATGTTTGACGGATCTCGGCGCGCGCGCGACGACGCGCGCGCGCGTCGGCCCGCGCGACAGCGCGAGGCAGCGCGCGGGCAAGGGCGTTCGAGCGATTCCGACATGCGTGCGCGCGAAGATCGTTTGGTCGGATCTTCTGAAGATTTCTAAGAACCTGTTGCATTCTCAAGCGTTCGCAAGTGTGCGCGAGCTTTTTCTTTGCTCTGAAAATCGGCGTTGCGAGACCGCGATTTTTTCCTAAAGCAAAAAAAAAACGAGGGCGCTCGAAACAACGCTTCGAGCGCGCGGCTTCTGAATGATTTCGGCGTGCGCGCGCGACAGCGCGCGCGCCTGCGCTTCGTCGTGTTTGTTACAGAGGTATATTGGGAACTGGCTGTGTTTTCTTTATAGCGAGCGCGCATATTATTTTTTTCAAAAGATGACGGGGGGGGGGCGGTCGACGCCGGGTCCGCTGGGGTGGTGTGCATTCATCTTCAGGATGGGCGATGGGGCAGAATCGCACGTAACTTGCAATGCGAAAAGGGGTGCGGGCGATCCCGGGGAAAGGGGGGGTCGAATCTACGTGCGTTCTCCAGTCCACTGCCCGCGCAGCCATTCCGCCCGCCCGCGCGCGCGGTTGCTTGCAGGACCGCGAAGCGGCCAGCTCGACTGGCGCGACCGACGCGGCCGCGGTGGCGCTGACTGCTGGGCAGTTCCCATCGGACACTTCAGTGCGAGTCGGCGACTTGGGCGGGCGCGGTTTCGCGGCAACGTCGACGGCGGTAGACGCGGCGATGGCAGTGGCGATGCCGGTGGCGACGGCGACAACGAAGACGGCGCAGCCAGCGACGTCGCCGGCACTGACCGCCCCGACGACGATGGCGGCGTCCACGCGTCGGTGGGGGCGCGCGGCCGACGCGCAAGCAATGGCCCGCGCTGCATCATTTGACTCGGATTGTGCCCGCCCCCCCCCCCCCCCACACGCACAGCGCGCGCTTGGGCGCTCGAATGATGTCGACATGTGGCGCGAACGGCCCGTTTGGGCGAAATAGTGGACATGTTGGAAAACGGGTGGTTTGCTTAGGAATCCGCAGTAGCGCGATCGCCGGCGCGTTCGGAGACTGACGCTGCAAAACCACGCGCGGCCGCGTGCCTCTGTCTTCAAGGCGCTCGATTTTGACATCCCAGTGGCGCCTAGGATTTCGAAGGTTTTCCGCCCGACGACGCGCGCGTGCACTCCGTCGAGTGCGCCGCGGGGGATTACCGCGGCAGCGCGCGCGCGCGAAGGCGCTCGAGCTCGACGTGCGCCCGCGATAGGCATGCGCGGTAGCATTTGATGGAGGAGTCGGAAAAAAACGATGGGCTTCTTGAAATCTGCATGGGCGCGCGCAAGCTGTATTCTTTGTGCGAAACCATGTGTGCTGACTTGTTGCCAGGGGCGCTCAATTCTCAAATCCTCGCGGCACCAACGGATTTTGAATGATTTCGGCATGTGCGCGCGACGACGCGCGCGTGTGCACTTCGTTCCATGCGATGCAGTGGCTATTGCAAACTGCTGATTGTTTCCCGCATGCCTAGTGGGGTTATGGTTATCTTCCCTCCCGCGTGGCGCCCGCGTCTCCTCCTCCCGCCCGCGTGGCGCTCGCGCGCGCGCGCCCCCCCTTCCCCCCCTCGCGCGGCGCAGCGCAGCGCAGCGCAACGCAGCGCGGCTCAGCGCGGCGCGCAGCACATTGACACGCAGCACCATAGGGGGTGCGCAGGGGGTGGCGTCTCATCGCGGCCGCCATTCGTGGCGGTCGTCCACGGCGCAGCAGGCGTGACATATTCTCGACGCCATCGGGGGCGCGCAAGGGGTGGTCTCTCACCGCGGCCGCTATCCGCGACGGTCGTCCATGGCGCAGCAGGCATTGGCTATTCTCGACAACGTGAGGGGGTGCGCAAGGGGGTGGTGTGTCACCGCGGCCGCTATCCGTGGCGGTCGCCCATGGCGCAGCAAGCGCGGCATCTTCTCGGCACCGTAGGGCGTGCGCAAGGGTGGCCCCTCGCCGCGGCAGCTACCCGCGACGGCCGCCCACGGCGCAGCATGCGCGGCCTATTCTCGACACCATAGGGGGTGCGCGAGGGGTGGTCTCTCACCGCGGCCGCTATCCGCGACGGTCGTCCAGGGCGCAACAAGCATGGCATACTATCGTCACCATAGGGGGTGAGCAGGGGGTGGTCTCTCACCGCGGCCGTTATCCGTGACGGTCGTCCAGGGCACAGCAGGCATGGCATATTCTCGACACCGTAGGGGGTGAGCAGGGGCGTGGTGTCTCACCGCGGCCGCTATCCAAGACGGTCGCCCATGGCGCAGCAGGCATGACATATTCTCGACGCCGTAAAAGGTGCGCAAAGGGGTGGTCTCTCACCGCTATCGCTATCCGTGACGGTCGTTCATGGCGCAGCGGGCGTGGGCTATTCTCGACAACATAAAAAGGGGTGCGCAAAGGGTGGTCTCTCACCGCGGCCGCTATCCGTGACGGTCGCCCATGGCGCAGCAAGCATTGCATATGCCCGACACCATAAAGGGGTGCGCAGGGGGTGGTCTCTCACCGCGGCCGCTACCCGTGACGGTAGTCCAGGGCACAACAAGCATGGCATAGTCTCGACGCCAGGGGGTGATCTCTCACCGCGGCCGCTATCCGTGACGGTCGTCCAAGGCACAGCAGGCATGGCATAGTCTCGCCACCATAAGGGGTGCGCAGGGGGGTGGTCTCTCACCGCGGCCACTATCCGTGGCGGTCGTCCATGGCACAGCAGGCGTGGCATATTCTCGACGTCGTAAAGGGGTGCGCAAGGAGTGGTCTCTCACCGCGGCCGCTATCCCTGACGGTCGCCCATGGCGCAGCAAGCGTGGCATTTTATCGGCACCGTGGGGGGTGCGCAAGGGGGTGGTCTCTCACCGCGGCCGTTATCCGTGACGGTCGTCCAGGGCACAACAGGCATGGCATATTCTCGACACCATAGGGGGTGAACAGGGGGTGGTCTCTCACCGCGGCCGCTATCCAAGACGTTCGTCCATGGCGCAGCAGGCGTGACATATTCTCGACACCGTAAAAGGTGCGCAAGGGGTGGTCTCTCACCAGTGCCGTTCTCCGTGGCAGCCGTCCAGGGCACAACAGGCATGGCAGAGTCTCGACACCATAGGGGGTGAGCACGGGGTGGTCTCTCACCGCGGCCTCTATCCAAGACGGTCGCCCAGGGCGCAGCAGGCATGGCATATTCATGACACTATAGGGTGGCGCGCAATGGGTGGCCTCTCGCCGCTGTCGCTATCCGTGACGGTCGTCCATGGCACAGCAAACATGGCATATTCTCGCCACCATAGGAGGTGCGCAAAGGGGTGGTCTTTCATCGCGGCCGTTATCCGTGACGGTCGTCCGGGGCACACAGGTATCGGCGGGGCAACGGCCACCAACATCATTCTCACATGCTTCACTTCAGCTATCATCACTCCAATCAAAATATAAGTATGTAGGGTTCCTCGGTAGCGTAATTGAAAAACGAGTGCGCGCGCATATGAATTTTTCCCAATGGTGAAGGGGGAGGATACCTGTTTAGTTGGGATAATATGAATTCGTATTTCGGGTGGACGAATGTTGGTAATAAATATACAGACGCGCTGCGCGAAGGGGGGGGCGTTAAAGCGGACGGGGGCGGAACGGATAATCTAAGGCGGCGACGCGGTGGCGAAGGCGGCAGCGTAGCCGCCAGACCGACCGACAAACACTCACGACGGGCTGCGACGAGGCGGCGACAGCGGCCACATAGCAGCCAGACCTATGACACGGCCCAGGCGATGAGCGGCGAGACAAAAAGGCCCAAAACGGCCCAAGAAATTCCCAAAACGCCCCAAGAAAACCCAACAAGAGCCCCAAGAGGGGGAACACGAACCGAAAATCCCAGCCTTCCGCCCCAAGGGGCTTCCAAGAGGCCCCCCACGAGGCCTCTAAGAGGTCCACTGGAAGCCCCAACGGGCTTTCAAACAGACCTCCGGAAGGCTCACAACTGCCTCCAGGAGGCCATCGGAATGCCTCGACGAGATCCCAGCTACCATCCAGGGGGCCTCGGACCCACATCGCAGGCACAATGGCGGGATGGGTCGAAGGCCAATCGATAGACTGCACCGCGTAGTTTACCCCGCACACATTGCACCACACAGTTTCAACCGTATTTATTGCACCACACAGGTTGCACCACCGATATTGCGCAACAACGTTTACATCACATATTTTGCACCGCAGACATTGCAGCACATAACTTGTATCGCGTAGCCCACGCCACACACATTGCACCACCTAGATTCCGCAGCACAGCTTGCACCACGCATCTTACGCCACATAGTTGGCACCACATAGCTTGCACCACAACCATTGCAGCACGCAGTGTGCTAGACCACATTGTTAGGGGTCCACGCTGCCTAACACACGTATGTACAAACATGTGCATACCCTTATATGCACTCACGCGCATACGTTTATACATGCACACGCGCTAGAAACATTCGCACGGGCTCCGCGCACGCTCTGTTTCTAGGTAGCTTGAGGCATTGGGGAATTCAAACTGGAACATGCTTGACTCCTCACTCTCCTCCTGCCCTGCTTTCCTCTCACCTTTTCGTGGCTATCGGTCTCCATCGTGCTTCTTCTTGTCTCCTTCCGCTTTCCATTGTTTCCTCAACCCTCGTCTATATCGTTCGGATGTCGTGTAGGGTTCTCGGAAAACTTTAGAAGCATGTTTGGGGCCATTGGGCCGCACATGTTCAAGCCTCTTGGGGCGTCTGAGGGGTCTCTTGGGGCCTCCTGGGGTCTAACACTCGACTTGTTGGTTCGGGCCCCCGCTCTTGGGACGTTTTTTGGGCCACGACTTTTGGGCCGTCTTGGGGCTCTTCTGATCACTTCCAGTACACTCTTGTAGAACCGATCTCACAGAAACAAACAACGACAACAGCAACCACATCTTCAAAAGAAACCAATCATGCGTCAGAGGAACATGATCTCTGCCACATGTGGGATGCAATGCTGATGTTATGTTGGCCTCATGACTGCTCTGAATGGGTCGCATCGACATGACTTCAACTACCCCAGGGGCCCATTAGCCCCCCAGAGGCCCCCAAGAGGCTCCAGGAGGCTTCCTAGATAGCCCCGAGAGGCTCCTAGGAAGCCTCCAGGAGGCTCCAAGAGGGCCTTAAGAGGTATCCTCTTCTTCTTCTTCCTCCTCCTCCTCCTTTTCCTCCGTCCTCTGGTCTCTTCCGCTCCTCAGTGTTCCACCAAAGGGTTCCACAACGGCTGGGGGAAGACACAGTCCAATCGCTGGGCAAGACTTCGGCTCAACGTTTGGCCACAGGGGCGTTTACAACAGGAAGGTTGCGGCGGTGATCCGCCGTATGCGTCTTCGGTACGTAACTACGACCCTGTGTCTGCGTATCTCCAAGGAGGGGGAAGACGAGGTAATGAGAGCGAGACCACTAATACTAATACTAATACTAATAGGACTAATAAAAATAAGACTCAGAAGACCGCTAATACTAATACTAACAATAATACTAAGACTATAACACGTAC